ACAAAGTCTGCCTATGTTTTCATATCAAAGGAACCAAATAAAATTAAAATAACGTTACTATGAATACAGATCATTGGAGAGACATAACTTTAAGATTCCCTTAAGTGTTCCTGTTTTTTATTTACATTTTCCGTTCTACGAGGCAATTTAATTGGTCATTAATCTAAATAGAACAGAACTGAAACACCACAGGTCTTGTCAACACGCGTCCCAGCAGTGACTCGATTAATCAGTGACTATTGATTAATCTTCACAATACCGGATTAATCTTCACAATACCGAACATACTGACCTTCCTACAGCACTACCAGCGTGCCCCCTCTCTCTGTCTTGCCTTTACATTAAAAACAAAACTGCGGATGGCAGTCAAAGGCGGAGTTTTATTGCCTAATTGTTCAAGCGAGGGTTTACCGGGCCGGGTAGTTGATAGTTTTGGTGGTGGTGGATTTTTAGTGCCTTGATTTTTTGCCACAAAAATGTGGCTGTCTAGACTGCTTGAAGCAAGCTGACATTAACACTGAGGCAGATGTGTAGCAGCAGCGTTGGTGGCTAGCCAGCGTCAGTAGCGGCGTTGGTGGCTAGCCAGCGTCAGTAGCGGCGTTGATGGCTAGCCAGCGTCAGTAGCGGCGTTGGTGGCTAGCCAGCGTCAGTAGCGGCGTTGGTGGCTAGCCAGCGTCAGTAGCGGCGTTGATGGCTAGCCAGCGTCAGTAGCGGCGTTGGTGGCTAGCCAGCGTCAGTAGCGGCGTTGATGGCTAGCCAGCGTCAGTAGCGGCGTTGATGGCTAGCCAGCGTCAGTAGCGGCGTTGGTGGCTAGCCAGCGTCAGTAGCGGCGTTGGTGGCTAGCCAGCGTCAGTAGCGGCGTTGATGGCTAGCCAGCGTCAGTAGCGGCGTTGGTGGCTAGCCAGCGTCAGTAGCGGCGTTGGTGGCTAGCCAGCGTCAGTAGCGGCGTTGGTGGCTAGCCAGCGTCAGTAGCGGCGTTGGTGGCTAGCCAGCGTCAGTAGCGGCGTTGATGGCTAGCCAGCGTCAGTAGCGGCGTTGATGGCTAGCCAGCGTCAGGAGCGGCGTTGGTGGCTAGCCAGCGTCAGTAGCGGCGTTGGTGGCTAGCCAGCGTCAGTAGCGGCGTTGATGGCTAGCCAGCGTCAGTAGCGGCGTTGGTGGCTAGCCAGCGTCAGTAGCGGCGTTGATGGCTAGCCAGCGTCAGTAGCGGCGTTGGTGGCTAGCCAGCGTCAGTAGCGGCGTTGGTGGCTAGCCAGCGTCAGTAGCGGCGTTGGTGGCTAGCCAGCGTCAGTAGCGGCGTTGATGGCTAGCCAGCGTCAGTAGCGGCGTTGGTGGCTAGCCAGCGTCAGTAGCGGCGTTGGTGGCTAGCCAGCGTCAGTAGCGGCGTTGGTGGCTAGCCAGCGTCAGTAGCGGCGTTGATGGCTAGCCAGCGTCAGTAGCGGCGTTGGTGGCTAGCCAACGTCAACAGTGGCGTTGATGGCTAGCCAGCGTCAGTAGCGGCGTTGGTGGCTAGCCAACGTCAGTAGCGGCGTTGGTGGCTAGCCAGCGTCAGTAGCGGCGTTGGTGGCTAGCCAGCGTCAGTAGCGGCGTTGGTGGCTAGCCAGCGTCAGTAGCGGCGTTGATGGCTAGCCAGCGTCAACAGCCAGGGGGTCACCGGGTACACCAAGCCATCTCCAGCCTCAATACACTAGTCTCGGGGGTCCAATGTTCTGGTGCTACGGAAATTTGGTTTGAAAATGTGACAGGTGTGTTTTGTGAGTTGTTTAGCGTGTGGTTAGGCCACACGCCAAGCTTCAGGTCAGGCCTTGGGTTGGTTAGGCCACCGGACACTTGGGCAAACCCCCTAGCATTTATTTACTTATTTATTTAGTTTATATATATATAAAGGTACATTGGGTTTTGAGAGTACATGGCATTGGTGTTATTTTTTTTCTACATTCTTACGTTCGTGTTTTTAAATTTGTAATAAAATGTTGTGGTGATTTTTTTTCTTGTTTTTTGTTTTGACGATTTTGTGATGTGATAAATATTTTGAGGAAATTGAGTGATTAGTTGAGCAGCGTGAGTTGCCTTCCTGTTGGGGTTCCCTGGGTTCAACTTGTCAACCTGTCAAGTGCTCGTCTCTCTCTCTGAACACCTGTCAGGTGCTCACAGCTCGGTGAGATGAGGCAGCATCCCCCCCCCCGTCATCTCGTTACACCCTGTAGCGCACATAGTGTCACACATCATCTGGTTGCCCTGGCAACGGACCCCACACACACACACACACACACACACACACACACACACACACACACACACACACACACACACACACACACACACACACACACACACACACGAAATGAACCACAGAGATATTAGAAAGAAATTTTTAGTGTCAGAGTGGTTGACAAATGGAATGCACATAGGAAGTGATGTGGTGGAGGCTGACTCCATACACAGTTTCAAGTGTATATATGATAAGAGCCCAATAGGCTCGGGAACCTGTACACCAGTTGATTGACAGTTGAGAGGCGGGACCAAAGAGCCAGAGCTCAACCCCCGCAAGCACAAATAGGTGAATACACGAGATAACATCTGTAACAAGCCGTCACTGGCAGCTATTTGCTTGTTTGAACGTTCATCCCCGTTTGTAGTCTGGTCGTATTCAGACCCGACACCACTTACGGGCTCACCATAGTCCGTGCTACTTGGAACTTTTTGTTCCAGGGAGCTAATCTACAACAACGTACACCTGGCAGCCTCGTCGGCCCCCCCCCCTTCCCCTCTAGTCCTGTTGTTGGTGAAGGGGGAGTGGGGGGGGGACGGGGGTATGGGGGGGGGGCAAATGTGGAGTCGGGGAAAATAATCAATGCTCCCGTCCAAATCCTTGATCAATTAATAAGACGGAATTATTCCGCGTCTCTTTCATTAACTCAAATATTTCACTGATAATCTGGCACAACTCCACAGGGAAGGGTGCACAGAGAGGGAGGAGGAAGATGGGAAGGAGAAGGAAGATGGGAGGGAGGGAGGAGAAGGGTGAAAGATCGATGACAATTTCAGGATAATAAAGGAGAGGACTGGGGGGGGGGGGGGTAGGAGGCGTGACCAAAATAAGAACACAAATATTTGATTGATGGGTGTGAGGCGGTGAGTTTCCTTCCAGGAGGTCTTATAACATATATATGGTAATCCCGCATGTTTGGCGTCCCGAGGACATGGGGCCAGATTCACGAAGCAGTTACGCAAGCACTTACGAACGTGTACATCTTTCCTCAATCTTTGACGGCTTTGGTTACATTTATTAAACAGTTTACAAGCATGAAAACTTCCAATTCAACTGTTGTTATTGTTATAAACAGCCTCCTGGTGCTTCGGAGCTCATTAACTGTTTAATAATTGGAAACAAAGCCGCCAAAGATTGAGGAAAGATGGACAGGTTCGTAAGTGCTTGCGTAGGTGCTTTCGTGAATCTGGCCCGTGGCCTCTCAAGGAATGCCCAAGTAATGCCCTACTATGCAGGCGAGGAGCCACAATAACGTGGCTGAAGTATGTTGATCAGACCACACACTAGAAGGTGAAGGGACGACGACGTTTCGGTCCGTCCTGGACCATTCTCAAGTCCATTGTGCCCTACTACCACCAATATGGATACTTTATTAATAGTCCTTCTTAGACTCTCGGTATCCTCTGGGTCTACATCCCCTCTCAACAACACATGTACAGGTTAATGAGCCTTTTCTTAACGTGATCTGATAGCTTTTTCCCCCTTCCTGACAGCTGGGTGGGCAGCGCTTCGCATTCGTAGTCCTGAGGTTCCGGGTTCGATGTCCGGTGGAGGCGGAGACAAATGGGCAAAATGTTTCTTTCACCCAGATGCCCTGTTACCTAGCAGTAAATAGGTACCTGGGAGTTAGACAGCTGCTACGGGCTGCTTCCTGGTGGGGGGGGGGGGGTGGAGGCCTGGTCGAGGACCGAGCCGTGGTGACACTAAGCCCCGAAATCATATCAAGATAACCCCAAGATCTCAAGATAACCTCCCGTCTAGGCTCTCTTTTCCTCCTGTTGCTATCTTTTTCGTCTATATTTCACGTCGTTCCCTACGGCATTTGAGTTTCTACAATTTCCTTTGTCCTTCTTAACTCTTAACGGCATACTTCTTACAGTCTCGCCTGTCACCTGGCATTCTTATCTTATTATTGACTTTCTCCGCCAGTCTTTCTCCGCTCTAATTGATGATGATCATTGACAATGATCCGTTATTTTCCATACAAACATAGGAAGTAAAGGAAAGCGCAGAAAGCCTCTTGTGTATACTTATATGTATATATCCACCCAAAGACATTCATGTGTAACTTACGCTTGATAAATGATATTATTTTTCTTAAGATTTTTATTTTTCTCTTGGGTGATCAATCATTTTCATTAACATCAGGGAGGGCCTCAGGAGAGAATTTAAAAAGTTCGAAGAAAATTTCAGGCCGAATTAAATGATGGAACTTTGATAAAGAAATTAAAAAAAAATTACTTCGGGGAGAAGCTCTTATCGTGGAGGCCAGGTACACGGTGTGGCTCAGTCTGCTGCTGCTGCTGCTGCTGCTGGGGGAGAGGGGTGACATGATAGAGGATGGGGAGGAGGGGAGGGGGAGCTCATTAACAGTGTGTTTGATGTCGGAGCGGCTAGAGAATAATAATTGATGGGACAATAAAATTTTGGGCATCAAAGGGGGTTGGACGAGTAAGAATATTGAAGGAATTATTCATTTTGTCGTTTCCTGTCAACTTACTGGGCGGGCACCTGGTATATTGGTGACCCTTGACCCCTGTACACCTGCAGGGGAGGAAGCCAGAGGGTCAATGTGTATATATATATATATATGTATTTCCATGTATTTCGCACCTGTTGTGACTTAACAGCCTGGTTGACCCGACACAAGGTAAGCAGGTAGTACTGTACACCCTCAAATTACCAGTAGATGTAATTAGACGTAGCTAATTAACCTTTTCTTCCTCCTCAGGGTCGATCATGTTCCATGTCCGGCGGCGGCCTGCGGACCACGGCCCCCGCAAGCGGAAGAAGAAGCCGGTGAAGGGCGCAGGCAGCGGGCCAGGGGGCGATGCCCTTGATCACCACCGCTCCAGAGACCCCTACTTCCTGCCTGACAGGCTGCCCTTCCTTGTTGAGCTAGGTCCTGGTGAGTGTACCCGGCTTGTTGGGGAGTCCTGGTGAGTGTACCCGGCTTGTTGGGGGGTCCTGGTGAGTGTACCGCGCTTGTTGTGAGGGGTCCTGGTGAGTGTACCGGGCTTGTTGGGGGTCCTGGTGAGTGTACCGCGATTGTTGAGGTGGTCCTATAATAATATGCTACTTCGGAGATTGATAGTACCCGTTCTGTCTTGTCTGGCACCATTGAAAGTACCGTGGTGGGCGCCAGGGGCATCTGGCTGTTGCTCCTCACGTTAGGGATCCTCTATTGTCTGAGGAATAATTCTTTATGCTGAAATAAGGGTTCCTGAGCCTTTTAGTGTTAGTGAATGTATAGATGACACAATTTTCGTAATCTGTAATAACAATAGGAGTTGCACATATCTTAGTATTCTGAGAGAAAATGACTAAGACTTGTAATTCTAGTACGGGACATCTGTCCTGTACGAACTTATGCACAAATGTGTCTTAGTGTTCTGAGAGGAGATATTACTACGGTACCGAGGTCTTGAATGTCCAAGAATTGAGGCCAGGAGTCGTCAAGCTACTTAACGCAACCACCTGCGAAACCTGTACATCTTTTAACAGTCGTGGCAACTTTGTTGACATTTATTTGACAGTTTAAGAGCTTCGAAGCATCACGAGGTTGTTTATAACAATAAACGACCTGGTGAGGTTGTTTATTGCGGTAAGCTTGACGGGGTATGGGGTGCTTGGGAGGGATAGCCTCACCCAACTCTGCATGAGGTACGGTCTGAGGTGTGGGATGGACATAGGCTGATCGCAGCATGCACAAGTTTAAAGCTTTAAGAATAGTCTGTCTGTCTCTCGTTGTTTATAACAATAAACAACCCAATGAACTTGGGTTGTGAAGTTTCCGCAGCTCGTAAAGTGTTTAATAAGTGTAAGTTTGAAGGAGTCAGGTAAGCGGTTCTGGGTTGCCGCAAGGTTGACGGGGTGCGAGAAGCTTGACGTGGGGTTGGGTTAGGTTATCTTGAGGTTATCTTGATGATTTCGGGGCTTTTAGTGTCCCCGCGGCCCGGTCCTCGACCAGGCCTCCACCCCCCAGGAAACAGCCCGTGACAGCTGACTCCCAGGTACTTATTTTACTGCTAGGTAACAGGGGCATAAGGTGAAAGAAACTCTGCCCATTGTTTCTCGCCGGCGCCTGGGATCGAACCCAGGACCACAGGATCACAAGTCCAGCGTGCTGTCCCCTCGGCCGACCGACTCCCACAAGGTTGGGTTAGGTTAGAGAGAAATCTCGTCTAGAGAGGCCAAGGTGGTATTTACTGAGCAGCAGCAGCAGGACCGTGTGATGGGTGATAACGAAGAGGCTAATGGAGGGACAAAGTACGCCCCCCCCCCGGGGCCACCGGGGGACGCTATTAACCCTGGCGTCATCACCAAGTCATCAGAGTGGTGATGACTGGTCTACAAATGCCGCGAATATCATCACTCTCACAATCCACCCATAGTGACTACCCGAGCTTGGGTCATGGCGCCGATACGTGAGCTGCCACACTCCTGAGAGCTCTGGCTGCCACACTCCTGAGAGCTCTGGCTGCCACACTCCTGAGAGCTCTGGCTGCCACACTCCTGAGAGCTCTGGCTGCCACACTCCTGAGAGCTCTGGCTGCCACACTCCTGAGAGCTCTGGCTGCCACACTCCTGAGAGCTCTGGCTGCCACACTCCTGAGAGCTCTGGCTGCCACACTCCTGAGAGCTCTGGCTGCCACACTCCTGAGAGCTCTGGCTGCCACACTCCTGAGAGCTCTGGCTGCCACACTCCTGAGAGCTCTGGCTGCCACACTCCTGAGAGCTCTGGCTGCCACACTCCTGAGAGCTCTGGCTGCCACACTCCTGAGAGCTCTGGCTGCCACACTCTTGAGAGCTCTGGCTGCCACACTCCTGAGAGCTCTGGCTGCCACACTCCTGAGAGCTCTGGCTGCCACACTCGTGAGAGCTCTGGCTGCCACACTCGTGAGAGCTCTGGCTGCCACACTCCTGAGAGCTCTGGCTGCCACACTCCTGAGAGCTCTGGCTGCCACACTCCTGAGAGCTCTGGCTGCCACACTCCTGAGAGCTCTGGCTGCCACACTCCTGAGAGCTCTGGCTGCCACACTCCTGAGAGCTCTGGCTGCCACACTCCTGAGAGCTCTGGCTGCCACACTCCTGAGAGCTCTGGCTGCCACACTCCTGAGAGCTCTGGCTGCCACACTCCTGAGAGCTCTGGCTGCCACACTCCTGAGAGCTCTGGCTGCCACACTCCTGAGAGCTCTGGCTGCCACACTCCTGAGAGCTCTGGCTGCCACACTCCTGAGAGCTCTGGCTGCCACACTCCTGAGAGCTCTGGCTGCCACACTCCTGAGAGCTCTGGCTGCCACACTCCTGAGAGCTCTGGCTGCCACACTCCTGAGAGCTCTGGCTGCCACACTCTTGAGAGCTCTGGCTGCCACACTCTTGAGAGCTCTGGCTGCCACACTCTTGAGAGCTCTGGCTGCCACACTCTTGAGAGCTCTGGCTGCCACACTCTTGAGAGCTCTGGCTGCCACACTCTTGAGAGCTCTGGCTGCCACACTCTTGAGAGCTCTGGCTGCCACACTCTTGAGAGCTCTGGCTGCCACACTCTTGTGAGCTCTGGCTGCCACACTCTTGAGAGCTCTGGCTGCCACCAGACTCTTGCTCTTGAGCTCTGGCTGCCACACTCCTGAGAGCTCTGGCTGCCACACTCTTGAGAGCTCTGGCTGCCACACTCTTGAGAGCTCTGGCTGCCACACTCCTGAGAGCTCTGGCTGCCACACTCCTGAGAGCTCTGGCTGCCACACTCCTGAGAGCTCTGGCTGCCACACTCCTGAGAGCTCTGGCTGCCACACTCTTGTGAGCTCTGGCTGCCACACTCCTGAGAGCTCTGGCTGCCACACTCTTGAGAGCTCTGGCTGCCACACTCTTGTGAGCTCTGGCTGCCACACTCTTGTGAGCTCTGGCTGCCACACTCTTGTGAGCTCTGGCTGCCACACTCTTGAGAGCTCTGGCTGCCACACTCTTGAGCTCTGGCTGCCACACTCTTGTGAGCTCTGGCTGCCACACTCCTATTAGCTCTGGCTGCCACACTCTTGTGAGACTCTGGCTGCCACACTTCACTCAGTCTTCAATAAAGCAACGTGTAAACTTTTTATTAAAGTTATGATAAACTATATCCCACTGTCAGCATCTGGGGAGAACTTACCAACCACATTATATCATAACTCTTTATTCACACTGCCTCTTAGTATATATTTCTCACTTAATTTACACCCCTTGTGTTAGTGATGATATTTTATATATTTATACACGTGAGTGTATGTTGACCAGACCACACACTAGAAGGTGAAGGGACGACGACGTTTCGGTTCGTCCTGGACCATTCTCAAGTCGATTCTGTCTACTTGAGAATGGTCCAGGACGGACCGAAACGTCGTCGTCGTCCCTTCACTTTCTAGTGTGTGGTCTGGTCAATATACTTTAGCCACGTTATTGTGACTCCTCGCCTGCACGTACGTGTACGTGTGTGTGTGTGTGTGCGTGTGTGTCTGTGTGAGTTGTAATACTGAATGAAGAGGCGGATTAGGGCGTTCAATCACGGGTTTGTTTATTAATGGCACGGGCGAGACTCAATGGTTAGGAACGCATTAATTAATATACATTCAGTGTTAATTTATGTGTTTACTGCGTGGCTTTGAATGTGTTGTGGTAATGTTGGGTGAAGTGTGGTGTGTGTGTGTGTGGTGTGTGTGTGTGTGTGTGTGTGTGTGTGGTGTGTGTGTGTGTGTGTGTGTGTGTGTGTGTGTGTGTGTGTGTGTGTGTGTGTGTGGTGTGTGTGTGTGTGTGTGTGTGTGTGTGTGTGTGTGTGTGTGTGTGTGTGTGTGTGTGTGTGTGTGTGTGTGTGTGTGTGTGCGTACTCACCTAGTTGTGCTTGCGGGGGTTGAGCTCTGGCTCTTTGGTCCCGCCTCTCAACTGTTAATCAACTGGTGTACAGATTCCTGAGCCTATTGGGCTCTATCATATCTACATTTGAAACTGTGTATGGAGTCAGCCTCCACCACATCACTTCCTAATGCATTCCATTTGTCAACCACTCTGACACTAACAAAATTATTTATATTGTATACTCACCTAGTTGTGCTTGCGGGGGTTGAGCTTTGGCTCTTTGGTCCAACTTCACTCAGTTGGACCAAACACACTCGCGTGTGTGTGTGTGTGTTCGCGTGCGTGCGTTTCCCTCCTTCAGATGGATGTTGTGTGGGGTAGGGCTTTGGTGTTCCTTGCCGGTATTGATTGTAATATTGATTGGCCGGGGGGGGGGGGGGGGGTTTGACCGCCCCACAAGTCCCCACCCCAAATGCTACCACCTCAGGAGCCATACTGCGCTCACTGACTGGACGCTCCAGAAGTTGGTCCTATTGTTCCATTATTCCTCTAGATTGATTAATAACTATAAAGATATTGATTTTTATAATAACGTCTTATAAAACTACTCTTGTGGATGAACTCTCGTATGGGTTAGGTTAGTTGACCTCACCTGACCCGAGGACACTATTGTGCAGTTGCTTAAGCATTTTATAGGATTAGTGTTCTGTAATAACCCTAATCTCTCCTAAATCAGCTTAAGCCTCACGTGCAGCTTAGTATGGCGGAGCCAAGATGTGGGGGGGGGGGGAGGGGGACTTGTGGTGGTGGTGTGTGTGTATTCACCTAGTTGTGTTTGCGGGGGTTGAGCTTTGCTCTTTCGGCCCGCCTCTCAACTGTCAATCAACTGTTTACTAACTACTTTTTTTCCCCACACCACACACACCCCAGGAAGCACCCCGTGACATCTGACTAACTCCCAGGTACCTATGTACTGCTGTATATGTATATATATGATATGTGTGTGTGTATGTGGGGTAATTGGGCGGTTCAGTGTTGTGTATTTACTATTTGTCTGTTGGAGCTAGGTGTTAGCTCATGGAC